GACGGATGGATGGATGGATGATGGATGGATGGATGGACGGACAGACGGATGGATGGATGGATGATGGATGGATGGATGGACGGACAGATGGATGGATGAACGGATGGATGGATAGATGGATAGATGGATGTTGGATGGACGGACGGATGGACAGATGCATGGATGGATGGATGGACGGACAGATGGATGGATGAACGGATGGATGGATAGATGGATAGATGGATGTTGGATGGACGGACGGATGATGGAAGGATTGATGGATGGATGGACGGACGGATGGACGGACGGATGTTGGACGGACAGACGGATGGATGGATGGATGGATGGATGGATGGATGGATGGATGGATGGATGGATGGATGGATGATGGATGGACGGACGGATGGATGTTGGACGGGCGGACGGACGGATGGATGGATGGATGTTGGACGGACAGACGGATGGATAGATGGATGTTGGACGGACGGATGGATGGATGGATGTTGGACGGACAGACGGATGGATGGATGGATGTTGGACGGACGGATGGATGGATGGATGGATTTTGGACGGACGGATGGATGGATGGATGGATGTTGGACGGACGGACGGATGGATGGATGGATGGATGGATGATGGATGGATGTTGGACAGACGGACGGATGGATGGATGGATGATGGACGGACGGACGGATGGATGGATGGATGGATTGATGGATGGATGTTGGACGGACGGACGGACGGATGGATGGATGGATGGATGTTGGACGGACGGACGGATGGATGGATGGATGGATGTTGGACGGACGGACGGATGGATGGATGGATGGATGTTGGACAGACAGACGAACGGACGGACGGACAGATGTTGGATGATGGATGGATGGATGGATGGATAAAAAGTTGTAGTAATCCTTTTATTTACAAACACAAATTCACACATGGAAGTAAAATAATAAAAATAAAGACCAATGAGCCAAAAATAAACAGAAATAAACAGAAATAAACATAAATTCACTCACATCACAAACAACAATTAAACACAATGAAACACAAAGCTTCATTCAGTCTCACTGTCTCATCTGCAGACACACACAGTCACCACTTCACACTCACATTGTTTCCTGCTATGAGCTTCGAGACCAAAAGAAAGCTGTTAACGTGAGAAAAACTGATGATTGTGTTAAAACACACAAACTTCCACACACATCAGAAGAAGTGGGTCAGCTCAGAGCAACAAACGCCTCAGCACATACTGCCGCCGCCCGAGACCAACTGGTTCCACTGAAAACCAGTGAGACTTTTTTCACTTTTAGCTTTCTGAAGCTGCCAACAACAAAGAGAAACAGGAGCAGCTGAAGTGACTTTGAGCTGTTTGACCCCAGACTTTGGCTGCGTTCACACTGTAGCTCTTAATGCTCAATTCTGTTTGTTTTGTTTTTAATTCGACAGGACAGATCATGATGGGACCATTAATAAATGTTAAGAAATCTGAAGTTTTTAATTGCAAAAGTTATTTTTTTACCTGCTTTAAAGACTTATTAAATGTTTGTTCTTTTGAAAAATGATCCAAACATTTATTTGTCACCAAATATATTATATAAAATAATGAGAAATTTTATTTGACTTCAGCTGGATCATATTCACTCAAAATCAAGTGAAACAAATTTCCAACCCACTTTACAACATATTTAGGTATCTGCTTTGACTTGCTTTAAAAAAAAAAATTCAAAAATTTTTCCTTTGTAGATTTGCAACAGCGCTCTTTTGTACAGTTTGTTTACTTTCTGATTTAACTGCTTGACGTTTAAACTGTGTTTGTTGAATGTAAAAAATAGTTTCCATGAGCTTTTAGCCAAGATTCTTAGCTTTCTATTGATACCAAACATGTCCAGGTTCAACTGATAAGTTAAAAGAAGTTAAATGAAATAGAAAACGGAAATGAAAAATATCACTGGAACGTGATTTCTTTTAAAAAAAGAAAAATATAAAACTTTATTTGCAGCTGAAAAAATGAAATGTTTACCTTTGATTCTCAGCAGGACACTTGGCCATCCAGTCACTGAGATGACTGTCGTACTCCACTGACAGAACTCTTAGATTTGGACAATCGGCTGCCAACCATGACTGCCGGTAAACAAGAACAAATACATAAAGGAACAGCAAGATTTTTTTTTCTTAATAATCTGTTCAGATTTATGAGCATTTGTCACCTTTGGCCAGCACTCTGTGTAGTCATCGCTGTTTTCAGCCCATTTCTCTTCTTCTAATGAATTGCGGTCCTTCTGCCTCCATGTCTTAAAAGCTGCTCCTAAAATCCCATGGATAAACAGCACGTCTGCTTTGATTGGCTGTCTGCAAATAAATATAATGATTGTTGTTKTTTTTTTTTAAATTTCATTGTTTATTTATTTGAATATAGAATTTTCTAAAGCAAAGGAACTGATGTCCTACTTGTCACGTGTTTGTGGGTGGAGGATGTAGACACCATCTTGGTATTTCTCCTTCACGGTTTCTCTGTCCAGGTTGGCCAGAGCTCGGGCTGCGTGAGACGCCTGTATGACGTGAGGAGACTGCAGCATCGCAGCCAGGACAGGCAGCCAGCCTGGAGGGAAACAGGTCGAACCCAATGTTCTGTTTTAGTTTTCATGTAAGTTTTTTTATTTATTTTTTTATATTTATTTCATTCAAACAACAAAAAACAACATATTAAAAATAAACAAAAACGGGTACAATAT